ATAGCCATCTCCGCTTCAAAGTGACCATCGCTTCACCCTGAAAAGTTTATTTACCAGGAAAAATCGAGATGTTGAATTCAACCAAAATTTATTTAGGATCTATTGTACATTTTAGAATTAGAAAACCTGAGAACCACCCTTTTAACAAAAGTGCTTTTGGTGCTTTACAATTCAGCAATAACCTTAGCAGATTAAAACAAACTTATTTGATTGCATTAGCAGCCCTCCCCCCTCTCTCACTTACTTCACCCCCTTCAAATAAATTAGTGATCAATATTCGTACAACGTGGGGTGCGAAATAGACTTACCTCCACGTGGTGCACCCTGGGCAACGTATACTTATACGACAAAAATGTCTATTGATCGGCAGTTGACTTCTGACTTCAAACTACTATGGCCCGACTATTTGTCATATTCGACCCCTTCCACAGTACTCATCTTACCTTTTTTATGCCTTTGTGTCTGTCTGTCTCTTTAACCTCTGTGAATCATTCTTCTGTTCCCCCTCTCGACTTTTTGCCACTTTGATGTTCCTTCTTCTCTCTGTGAAGCTCCGAATTCAACTCCAGGGCTAATGATAACTATCAAAACGCCTGCCATTTGACATAAATAAATAAATATTCGTACAACGTAGTGTAGTTTTGATTGTATTTAATGACTACAAATATTGACAATTTTGAGTTGCACTGAGCTCTCGCCATCCCCTTCTTTCTGGGTTCTCACCATCTCAGACGTAGTCGAACTAATTTTCGTGACACGACTTATGCTAGTTGACCCTGTCTGCGTTTGTACCTAGTGGTTTATTAAGGGTTAGCCAAGTGCTAATTCGTGTGGAATCAACTAAAAGTTCAGCAAATTTACTGCAAATTAAAATTTTATGAATGCCAGATGAACTTAAATGGTACAATTAACTTAAGTATAATGGTATATTTAAATACAGCGCTGCTACATTTATTCGAATTGTCCTCAAACGCAAGGTTACACTAAATTCATCTCTTTCGGTGGAGGTCACTGTGTCCTTCTCATTTATGACTTATGCGGTGATGATGGATTTTGTGCCATTATCCTTCTTGGGTATTCATTAAATGCATCTCATTTCATTTTGATGCCATTCCGATGCACTACTGCACTTTCGGTTTCATTGGAAATAATAAGAAAACACAATCGTATTATCTCAGTATTTTACAACTATATCAATACAGTGGCGCTTTCTTTAGGTTTACTCGTTGACGGTAATAACTTAGATCAATTAATTGAATTAGTTGGGAAAAGTGATAAGTGTCCCCAATTGATTTATTATATCAAAAATCGTAATTCCCTCAACGTTAAGGAGAAAATAAACACGGTAAAATGTCAATTATCTACTTCATAATTGAACGCCTGGTTAAACACGATTTCTAAGATGAAAATATGTTAAGTAATCCGTGTGACAAATTATAAAAAATTATCTTTCAATCGTTTAGTAACTAATTTCAATGCAAATTCAATAATCAAATGGAGTAAGGTACTTTGAATTTAGTGCTAGTAACTTTCAATTCTTCCTCTTTTCTCAACAATTTAGCTGCTTTCCTAAAACAAAGTACATTGACATCGTTTTGCTTTGATGCAGGAAATATTTTCAGATCTTTCCAAACTTCAAGAAAGAGCCACGTTATCAGCATAAAAGTGTGTTCTTTGAGCTCAATGGGAGTCGTTGAACACCACCTAAGAAATGCGCTGTTAGTTAGCAGTCTAGCAACACTCAGCAATTAATGAATACATTTTATGAAGTGTATATACCAAATACCACATGTAATAGACATCATCTTCAAAAAACCACACCGTACATAGAATCAAATTTTGCCCAAGGCAATGGAAGTCCCTATTTCGCTCACTTCTATTCAGTCGTCTTGTGGGACACTTCATCAATGACCAATGAAATCCTGCTTACTCAGAGATATTTAGATATTAATTTTCACGCAAATTATGCTAGATTTAATTGATAACTAATCGCTTTGCCAAAATTACAATTCGCTATCAATATACGTACTGAATAAGCGTATTCTGTGCTACACGTCTGTTTCCCTTATAGCTGGGCTATAGCTTAGCTTGTTCTGGGAGTCTAGCTAGATGTTGGAGAATCTGCCATAGAGATTTCTGAGTCGGTCAGGCTTTACTAGCGTAGCAATTCGCTACAATCTTTCTTCTATACTTATTGGCAGGCTTCAAGTATGTTCCCGCAATAAATGTGCAAAGATTTTGATCTACCGGGATTAATAAAAAATTAAACAGGAATTTTGGAATCTGCATTCGAATTGGTCATCAAATTACACAAATTTTACAATTTAATACAAATAAGAAAATTTGTTAAGTATGTAATTATCCATTGACGTGTTTCAATTTTGAAGGATTACTAAATCCTTCCTTATAAGCTTGTATTATTAAGTAACAAGTTTGCTTCATAATAATTTTAATCAAGTGGATAATGAAACGATTTAGAGGAAGGGACATTCGGTCTGAATAAAAGATAATAAAAATTAAAGCTGATTTTTCACATATTCCAAATATTTTTTGTTATTTATTCACCGACAATTCTGTAGGCATTGGATAAATTCGTTGAGAAGAGGCTTGTTAAAACTTTTAAAATTCACTTCCAAAATTATTACCAACCTTAGATTGCTCAGTTCACACTTTCGATGTAGTCTTTTAGGTAAGTAAATTCACAGTTATCACATTAGTTGAACTGCTCAACAGACTAACAAAGGACAAAAAAATAGTCAACTCAAGGCAGCATATCTTGATTTTCTCTTTCATCACAATTACGTTTTCACTTTATCCGCGCTGATATTTACTTCCAATTCTCTTTCTACTTTTTACTCAATTCTTGACCATCTACTTTGTGGACGTCTTCTGTATTTTGCGGGTCTGTAGAAAGATTATTAATTTTAACAAAGGCTATCTCTAATCAAAGTCTAAAGTTCTTAAGTAATTATATTTTTAGAATTTAGTGCGATTTTTAGCACTCTCTAACCCATGATTTAATCAAACGACTTCTCATTTAGTTTTCTGAAGCATTTAAAACATATCTGCGGCTTTTTGACATAGTGTGACATAGTGCGTTTTAATAGTTAATATTAACCCTTTAGCTGACATCGGGCTTCATAGAGAGGAAGAAAATCAAATTGAGAAAAAGAAGAACAGAAAAGTGATTCACGAATGTAAAAGAGACAGACAGATACAAGGGCCGAAAAAGGGTAAGATGAGTACTATGGAAGTGGACGAACATGACATACAGCGGAGTCATGGTAGTTTGAAGCCAGAGGTCAACTGCCAGTCTGTCGACTTGTTTCGTCATATGAGTATACGTTGTTGAGGTTGTACCACATGGAGGTAAATCAATCACACACCCCTATTGAGAAATATACCGCTCCGTAATAGATCAAGAATTTATTCCATTGCCATAATTAGCGAAATAGCTTAACTGAAAGCTAATAAATGGGCTCCATAAATCCCCGAAAATAAGAGTAGTTAAAGTATTTTGAGTATATTTAGGAAATAATTTATTTTAACCCTTTAGAAAATTGGCGTTAAAAAAGCCATAAAATTTAGCGAACTCTTGAACAAAACAGTTTTTTCAATAAATAATTTAATTAGTTTATTTTCTCCATTGGATAAAGTAGGAGATAATAAACGAAATTTAGTGCAATTTTGTCCAGGATTTTGGGCCAAGTTATAGCTGACTTAATCAAGTGGGATCGTGTTGATAACCAAAAGTACAAACTATTTTAATCAGAGTATTTAAAATATCTGCAAAGGATCTCGAATAATAACAAATATTGGACCAAAATAATTGACTGAATCAATGCTAAACGGTTGCCGGCCATGATATTTATTACATAAAGGTTTTTCTAGTCATTGATTAAGTAATTATAAAGAGTATATCATATATCAATTATTTCCTCCTATTTATACGGATTGTATGGAGTTATAATAGGATAAGAAGTGTATTAATGATATGTATATTTAAATGTGTTCATTTATAATTTTATTCTATAAATAGAATATATTAATTGAAATAAAAACAAAAATTTTAATTATAACTGTAACATTTCGCATTTTGATTCGATACCAAGCATGAAAAACACATTAATTTTGTTATTAACTAATATTGATTCATTGAAAAGTGATAACACGCAATGGTATCATAAAGAGTATCAAATATAGATGGAAAATATATGAAAACACCTCTTAAACAATCATACATAATTGATACATAATACGAATTCAATATATATATATATATTTCAGACATGAATTTCATAGGTTTTTTGATATATCATTTCATAAAGACACATGTAACTTCGATTTTTTTATAAGTTTTACGAATATTAAAAAATTGTTGCTGCTAATTCTTAACGTTTATAGAGCTATTTTCTATGAAAAGGTCGTTAATGCATACCGATTTATTCATATCTCACTATTTTTATTAAATATTCGAAAAAGTATATATAACCGTAAAGTTAATTTTCGATCCATTTATATATGTAGATTTTGATGACCTTATAAGAGGCTTATTTTAAATATTCGCGGTATCAGATTACAAATTTGTGGTAGTATTTCCACAAGGAACTAGGGGTCCCTATTAGTAAATAAACAACAAACGCTTAATTATAAGACATTAATAATATATTATGGCCAACCGAATGCTTTACGAAGTCTGCAGCAGTATTTGAGAATATATTAATAATCGCCTCAATTTTTAGCCATTGAAAGCCATTTATCTCCTTTCTTTAGCCTATTTAAGGCTAAAATTATAGACTGCCCAAATTTGTGTCGAAGACCTTTTAATTTTAGTCGATCAGGTTTGCATATTTAAACATTTATTACGATTTTATAAGGTATCAGCGGTGATTCAACAATCGCTTCTTTGGGAAGCCTAGACTATTTGTTACCCACAGCAGACCCTAATAGAGTACATATCTTTGTTAAAATACAAAATTCAATTTCAGATCTATGATTTGATGCACACCGCACAAGCATCGAAGCAAATCCAAGGAATGATAGTAGGGGGAGGTCTTGGACCATTCCAAACTTACAATAGGCCCTGTGAAGTAAGTACAATGACTAGTGGCATTAATTATGCTTTAAACTAGGTTGCTGCAGATATTACCTTTACGTCTCGTGGGTTAGAAAGTAACAATTCTCTTGTGGGTTTTGCAGATAAAGAGGTAACAATTTTTATGAAAAAAATATGTGAAATTTTCACTTGTTTAAAAAATAGAGAAAATTGAGAAAATTTTATGTAAATTTCTGATTAGTGCTCTATTTTTTGTCAATTTTAGGAAGAAGAACCCGAATTTCGAAGTGCCTCAAATTCTTACATTGCAACGATGGGTCAATTTTTCGTGACAGAGGCGAAACCTGGAAGAGTTATTCAAATAGAAGCGAAAGGTCGTAACGGTGGCCAGAATATCTTCGACATGATTCAAAGTGCTCTATACGAAAAATACAAGGGTGAAGAACTACCCATGGGAGTTGGCGGCGTATTCTTCTTGAATGATAGCAGTGCCCAAGTCTCTCTTCTGGTAAGGATTGCAATATGTCACTAGGTGTCCATCGGTTATTTTCAGTAGAAACTCGCCTATTGCCAATTTCTATAGGTATGTATTTTTAAGGGTTAGGCGTTTCTTGTTTCACTCTACCCCAATTTGCGTGGAGCCTTTATCTTGCCTATATGTATGTTCACTGCATATTAGATATAAACTCAGAACTTTCCTCGCCGAGTATTAGAATTCAAGTAATTAAATAAATAATATATTTGGAATTTCGAAATAAGGGTATTACCGTAAACTGAGGTGAGTTATTTTGCATGCACAAGCTGGAGAATAATTTGTGATTTTGGATATCAGTTTTAATACCACGCATATTTCATTAATTGTTTAAAGTTTTGTATTGAAGGGATATTATTTTTCCATGTAATAGTGAAATGGATAGAAAGTAAGGTAAGCAATCCAGCTGATGCAATTGATAATATCATGATTCCTTTTGTTTGTTTTCACTACTCTGAGTAATTATTGTATCATTTCCGGTTGCACAAGGGGTTAATGTTACTGACACGACATGACCTGGCCTCAGAACCTCCCGTTAATTACTCTTAAAACTTTTAATTGCATTCATTCGAATAGTCGATTATGTTATTTGCTGCTGCAAATTTAAATATCACAACGGACGCGTAAAATAGTCAATAATAGAAAGCACCGCCCATAAATTAAGCAAATTAGATTACTAGATTCAGTAATCAGTTCGCTAGTTTGATGTCAACTTAACTTCAGTGCTCACATTTTTTGCATCGCGTTCTAAAATGTGACTAATAAATCTTCCCTCAAAGATTGCCTTCCACTCCTATTTTGCATTGTCGTTTTTAACTTTGAGGCTATTTAATGGAAGAAAATACTCAGGCTATGGCTATTTAAATCTTTTAACTATTTTTTTCGCCTTTTTGCTTCATAGAATGCGATACCCGCCGAAACCTATCATACATATCCCTGTGTAAGAAGATACAAAACGCCATTCTCTATAGATGGCCCAATAGTTGGCGCTGGCACAATTATTTCTCATGATCCAGTAAGTTTGGTGAAATTTGGTACAAGTAACGTCAAACTAGAATTAGGCGCTAGTGAAATAACACAGAAAAAGGGAGATAATTATACAAAAATACCCAATTAGTTCCTTGCAGTCGATTTACATTTAAGTAGGAGAGAAGCTTCTAGAGGTGGGTATAAATTTACATTCGCTTGTTTATGTTGGGCGTATAATTAGCACAATAGGGTCAAACTGCATGAATCAATTAATAGTTATTGAAATGACCCACTCCGGTCAATCAATTATTTCTAACTTTTCTAATAATACAGTTTAATACAATCACTTATTCTATATTGCAGACAGCATTGGGCTACATGATGAAAAGTTTCTACTGCTGGAATACTGCCCGTACACTGATGGGTCAATTTGAACAGGATAACAATCCTGTAAATGCACATTATCAGATATATTTGACGGTGGCAACACAGATCTACCGACATGACAGACCTGTCTATCGCATTTGATTGTGCTGTACAATAAATGCACCATTACTTGATAGAATGGTACAAAATAAAGTACACATACATTCACAAATTTAGTCTTCATTTGGTTAGCATAGAACCTTGATATTATCAGCATACTTAATGTCGAAATGGGGGGGGGGTTAACACCACGATAAGCCTTAATAAAGGACCTAACAACATCCCGAAACCTAAGTTGAGACAGAAATTTGAAGAAGTTGTGCTGTAATCTGGATATTGCCAGTGATGTCCTTGGAGTTTCACTTCAAAATATTATGCAAATCACTATGCTTCTATTCTGTACTGGCATTCTAACAAGCGAATACATGCCAAGAATTTTATTATGAGCTCTGAAGTCTAAATTATACAGATAAGTCTCCCTGTGGCAACGAACCAATTTAGATAAAATCCCGAACTGTCACCTGTTGAAGTGCCAATAGATGATGAGTCATTCTTCTGAGCCTAGAAGCGCTTTTAAATTAGAAGTAGCTCGCAAATATCATACAGTGCTCTCTACTTCAAACCCCGAATTAGCAAATCAATATATGAATAAATTAGAAAGTGCGCGAATTGAAGTGAGGCTAAAATACTTTTCATGGATTAGTCTAAAGTTTCCAGTTAAAGGAGTCAACACCTATATATTTCAAATAAGGCAATCTTCGAAGACTCTCAGCTATATTGAAGTGCCATTTTGACCCAGGAGTCCTAAAGGAAACTGAATGAGATCAAGTGCTCAATGCCATAATATTGCGTATTCATTGTGGCTAAAGTAAAGCAATCTCAAATTATGTAAGTTCAAACGAGCAATATCGCAATAGATTTTATTGACAAGAAAATGAGATACACAGAAATAGGTTAAGCTACAAATAACTGTTCATAATCAAGACACAGTTCAAGCTATTAATTCTTCGGCCGGTTGGCTTCCTCCTTCTTCTTGTTGAGCAACTCGAGAACTTTGGTAATGATGACATTATCCAACCCAGTATCCCACTCGTCAGACATATTGACTGGAGTTACGATTGAATCGAAATGAACTTTACGCCAAATGAAAGTGCCATTTATGAGCCCTCATGGCCTTTAATTTCACATCGCTTTGATTCCTATTGGTGCAGATATTAGCTTAACCTCAGGGTGAGGTCAGCAAAGCAATTAAGCGTAGTCTCTTATTTACTAGGACGATGCATTTTTCTAATTAATGTGATTTTAACAAAGTTTAAGCTTGACTCTGTTAATAACGTACAATTTCAAGACCGGAATTAATGATAGGAACAAATAATGGTTGGATAGGCAATTTGTTTAGATTTAAGTCCTATTTTCTTAATCTTACCGGCCATTCTTACACAGAAGTAACACTGTATTTATTTATTTAAAAGTAGTTCGCTCTGTTAATTTTTTAAAATTTCAAATAATACTAAGCAAATTAAATTAAATAAAAACTAGTGCGCGTCTCCATTCTTGATTGAATGCCATTTTTCTCGGAATATAATTCTAATCGAAGCTGACTATTGAATTCAACGCTAGTAGTACACATGTTCATATAAATTTCAATAGAGTAATCTGCTTGACAACTGAATCATATCGAATGTTCGCGAACGTGAAGTGCGAAGCGCTTTGAAATTTGTTAACCTAGAGGAACTTGAATACATTTACTCATTTATAAAGAGTACGGGTAGACGTGTTTTTGCAATATTGAATTATGCCCAGTGTAAATCAATCCACATGTTAGGGAAAATTCAGTTTAAACCGATAAAAAGGGTTTGAATGTCCACAAAAAAATGACACACCTTACCTATGGTAGTAAAACCCTTCATCGGATAAATTCGTACAAAACAGTGAAATTCTTGTCAGACAATTCTATGTGAGTGTATATATGGGATCATTGATCCACAGAAAATACAATCAAAAACAGTGTCAAATGCCTTTTTCCTACGACTAAATCAAGCACATGTAAATGCTAGTCTCAAATATAGCATTAATCACATGCAAGTCTACGCCGAACGACTGCCGCTGAGACAACCAGGATGGTTTAGAGTTGTGCATCAAAAAAGGTATTATAAATACACCCCCCCCCCATTATTCCAAGAAAAATTGAACGAACCTCGTGAAGAAAATTTCATTCTTCAAATACTTGACAAGATACACACTAACAAGAAAACATATCTCAATAAATAACACATGCTATGGTTTAATCACAGGTCGCTTTATGAATTTCAGTGGCATGTAATGCAAAAAATAAGCACGCTATCTTTACTACTCTTTCGATGATACTGGTGGGAATACGTGATCTAAATTTCTTTGAACCAGCAGACCCTGAATGCACGCAAGACATCGACGTAATGCCTCCACGAAACGCTCAACATCCAATTGAAGCTGGGCCATAGCCTCAATAGGCGGAGAAGATGACGAAATGTCCGATGTCGGAACACATAAAAGAACTGCTTGTATCTTCTCAGCTTTGGGTACGGCCTTGAGAATCACCTGAAATAAACATTAATTAATAGATTTCAAGTATACTATATTTTGCAAAGTATATAATAATGAGGCTACTTGCACGAAGCTCATACTAAATTTTTAAGTACCTAAGATGCGTGCATTTCACACATAATAAAACCTACCGTAGCAGTGCCCCTAACGGACCAATTATGAAAATCGCGAAGAGTTTTAGTATAGGCCTTCGTTGCAATATCTTCAACAATAGTTTCATTAGGTGAATTCTGCCGAAATGCGGTTGCAGTATCCTTGAAAAGGAGATCCAGGAACTCTGCAGCGAAATTCAGACACCTTGCTAGCCATAGCAGAGCAAGATAAGCCGATCCAGGTTTTTGGTACTGTTTAGCTCTCATTTCAACGTCGACAATATCGGCTAAAGACAAGGCCAAGGATCGTTGCCGGGTTGTTTCGGGTTCACTAGATTCGCCTTCACTAGCAAGGGTTTTAACTGCCAATTCCAATCGGACAACATTCGTCAAAACTTCAGCATACACCGTTTGAAGACTTCCTAACTGACTTAGATCAGGATTATTTTGCGGAGCAGTAGGGTTCGCACTGACACTTGCCAAACTTGGAAAAAATGTTAGAGCACTTCTGCAACAAGCAAGGAATTCCACAGCTGAAATTGACGATTTATTAGCAGCGGATTGAGACAATGCCAAATCCTCGAAACTAAAAAACAAAAAAGTACAAAGCAGAAAGAGATTTATATTCAAACATATTTTTGCAATTTCAATATACCTAAACTCCATTTTGGAGAAAAACGTTGGATATGGTCGCGATAATCTTAGGGCTCGAAGGTGATTATTTAATAGAGATTTATTGCCATTTTTATTAGTCGCAACCGTAGTTGCAATTTGCTCGATAAGTCGTGTTGTCCTCGGGCTGATTTCGCTAAATTTAAATGAAATATAAAAATCTAAGGCAATAGGGAAAACCTGGTGTTAGTGGAATTTTTTCGACTTGTTGGTTTATAATTTTGAAGACTCTGAGGCAAGGCGGATGGTTTTCGAGAGTTTGCAGGGCTGCCATCGGGGTTTGATGCGGCTAAGGCAGCTTTAAATCTACCAGAATTAAAGAGGAGTCTAATCAATTCATCCGTGTTTGAAAGAAGAGTATCACAAGTCGCTTTCAGGGAATTCACAGCTTCTATCATCTCCTGCAAATACAAAAAATAAACACTACTTATATAAAAATAAGTAGAGTAATCACAAAGTGCGTACCCTATTTTCTCCGGCTGTTGCCTTCAACGCACAACAAACCCCATTTATTTGTTGGACAAGAAGATCCCGATTAATACGGAGTTCTGAGCGCTTGACTTCGATAGATTGTTCCGTTTGCTCTAAAATAGCGAAATAATAAATTGAAGCAGATAGTCTCTGTGCAGCAAGCCCTTACGTCTAGTGTTGGCGAAAGTCGACAAATTTGGTACAGTAGCTACGAAACGACTTAATGTACTACCAAGATCAACAAATCAACAATCTTACGTGACTTTATAATATTTTAAACCCAAAAAACGGATTTAATGAACAAAGCTAATTACCAATACTTGAGGAAAAACTAAAAGTCGATTAAGATTATTTATCGATTTGACTTACTAAAGTAAATTAATTTACAAATTACAAAACTACGGGCAACAGATAAATGGATATTTTAATGAACATATTTATCGATTTTTTTAGTCCGCTTAAGAATTCAATGGGCGGAAAGTTGGTGACGTGTAAGCAAAAAGGCGAATAGAGGAGAAAAAATGTACACAGGCTAGTAATCAATCAAACCTAGGCACGAAAATCATTTAGCCACTAGCTACGAAATCTTGAATGAATGCACAAATCTGCCATTGTAGCATTTTTAGAATTAAGTGAATACCACTGGTGACCAATGCTAAATTATCATAACAATACCATTAAACCCTCAAGCTTCCGGCTTTTGAGGTTGTCATGCCAATTTAAAGTGGTTTGACACGATTTTAATGCTAATATGCCAAAAAAGTTGCGCATATATATAGTGTTACACCAAATTTATGAAAATGGAATAACTCGTTCACTGTGAATTTAACGAACGCGGTTAAGGTACAGAAAATTTCTCAATTTTCACCTAAAATGGCCAGTCAAGAAAAAAAAACTTTTCACACCACTTTTCGAGTCGAGATACTTTGAAGTTAAGATAACGCTAATAAGGAATTCAACTCGAGTACATAAATTCTTATTGGATTTAGTACCCAGAAGCAACCTTCTCAGTTTAGATGGGCAGAAAATCTACAATTAAGCGTCAAATAATGGCGTTAGTGCTAGTATTTGCATGCCTAATATGAAAATTTGATCTAGCTTTTAGACATGTCCTCTAAATTCGCATGAATAAATTTAATTTCCTATTAAATATTAGTTTTATCCACCCTTTCACACAATTATCGCTTTTTACTGATCCTATAAAGTTCCAAACAGATACGGCTAGACCGATCGCGGATAAATTAGGGAGGCCTAGTTTACAACATGTCTCTGGTTAAATAAATTTGTAGTATTCACTTCTTAATGTTACCCAAATTTTCCCTAGTCTGATGAGCAGCAAGAATTAAAAGGCTTAACATATCGCGAAAACCGTCCACACTTTTCTCATTTCTCCTGGTTTTACTTTCAATGCGAACTTCTACTTCACATCTAACCTATTTTGTAATGAAAAGAGCTTGGAGTCAGGCTTCCTAAAACATCCCAACAACTTTGAAATTTGATAGGCACTACGTTTCTATTTTATTCAAGGGAAAGGCAAAATAAATCACTTCCCCATGGAAAATGGCCACAAAATCTCAAAATTTCGAACACTTTTAAACACACAATGAGCAAAAAACGGGTAATCCAGTACTCAATGTAATTATCAAAAGATCTAACGCCTTTAATAAATTCATCATTGAATCATCGACAATTAATAACTAGAAAAATTCACAATCGATTGGCACTTATCCATAAACACAGAAGAAATCAAAGTAAATGCGTGTATCAATTGTAGAGGATATATTACGCATACCCTGTATCCTGTGACTAGTTAAGAAGGGGTAAGTAATAATCCTATCACCTTACATTTTTCATCCATAACTTAATTCAAACTAAAGATAAATCAATAATATACACTCTTTAAAGCAAGTAGTAGGCAATTTAACAAGCATAGTTCGCCCGATTAAACATTTGCCGAACATAATCAATTGGCGATTATTGGCAAACCCAACTGTTACCCGAAGGAATACATGTAGCGATTGCAAGTCACATTATGCACTCTCTTACAGCGCCGTATGGTAATTTTATGCAAATCACAACATTCGAAGGATGATTTTGATAAAAAACCACTTAACTTGGCGTCATGACTAATCACGAAATACTTTCTGTGGGAAACTCTGGCAGAAAAAAAGACAAAAAGCAGTTACACCCACAGAAGACCTACGGTAAAATTATAATTTATGGAAGTGTTTTATTTGCACAGAAAATAAAGGGGCGGAATAAGACCAAAAATTACATTAAAAACGTACGCATTTTTTCCAGATCGTCAACGTTTGTGATGCCGGCTTTACAAGTTCCAAGTGCAATTATCCACTTCTGGCGTTCAGTTGAGTTTGCTGCCTTCAGAAAAACCTTCTGCTCACCAGGAATCAGTATATCAAACCGACAGGAGTCTGTTGGATGAACTGAAATAGATTTGAAAAGACATCGTAAGAAAAAGCAACTGACGTGAAGATGATTGGTTCTAGAGGTGTGCTTATCACTGATTGGTTACAAACACAGTCCTTGCTTTTGGAAGGTGTAAACTCAAAACGTATAGTAAATTTTAGATTAAATGAATTGCTCGACTACGGTAGCCACGCACTTGTACGGATAATTAGCTATAAAAAAGTGGGTACATAAAATTGCGCGTGTAGAGCAAAAAGATTTATTTATATCAAATGGCAGACGTTTTGGTAGTTACCATTAGCCCTTTAGTTGACTTCAGGCTCCAAAGAGGGGAAGGAACATCAAAGTGTAAAAAAAATCCAGAGGAGAGGGGGGGGGGTGATGCGAGTAATGTGGAAGTTTAGAAAAGGTAGGAAAAAGGTGAGGTGAGTACTGTGGAAGATACAAATGTAGAAAAAAGGTGAGGTGAGTACTATGGAAGTATACAGACTCAGAGGTAGAAAAAAGGTGAGGTGAGTACTGTGGAAGTAGACTAATATGCCATACAGTGGGGTCATGGTAGTTAGTAGTCGAATTTGACATACAGTGGGGTGATTGTAGTTTGAAGTCATGTCAAATGCCGGTTAATAGACTTTTTTGCCGTATGAGAATGTAGGACATACAGTGGGGTCATGGTAGTTTGAAGTCAACTGCCAGTAAATAGACTTTTTTGCCGTATGAGTATACCCAGGGTGCACCACGTGGAGGTAAGGTTCTCGCAAACCCCAGAGCGAAAAAGATATACCTTAGCAAACGGTGTCGCTAAACAAAAGCCTGTTAGCCAAACTGAAAAGTAAAATTTTGAGAGGAAATGTCTCACATAATCAACCACAATTTGTAAGATGCCTGGTTTATTTGGATTCGTTAAACTAATTTTGACCATAAGCAGTTACTTCTGGAAATTAAAAATTAGGTATGATTTTAACGTAACTCCATTATATGTTCCACTAAATTTTCTTGCAATAAAAGTTATTTGAAATTATAATCAGCTTTATTATTCAAGAAAAGAAAAAAATGAACCCAAATTTTAATCCATTAAGTTTTGTTTTTTAAGACATCAAATTTGAACACGATGCAATCAGTGAAAAATGAAACTATACTACATTGAAGTCTAACCCGACTAGTATATATGAAATAAAAAATGGAAAGAAAGACAAACACACTTAAATCCAAAGAATATTTTTGAAAATTTATCGACTTACTGGAAAAGTCACAGACAGATACTTTAAAGGCACCTCTGCACCCAGCATTTACTTCTGATTCCGATGTATAATATGAAAGTATACCATCGCGCAATGTGAAATAACGTTGCTGCCATCCATTTATGTAATTTGTCCATTTATAAAGGGAACCATCCATTAGTAAAACTTTAAAGAAAACAATTAACATTAAATTTGAGGCTTTTTAATTAGCGATTGCACTTGGCAAACTAAAATCGATCTTAGACCATTCTAACAAGAAAAGGCAAAGGAAACAAATATAGCTCGTAAATCACGCATATCTAAATAAATGAGATTCAAAAAAAAGAGAAATAGGTCAAATTACGTGTTAGGAAGTCAATGACGATTTTGATTGGCTTATTCAAAAAGTGAAACAACACACACATCGGTCATCCAATAGTTAAACCAAACATTTAAAGTGAATGCCTCTTTGAAAATAAAGTAAAAGTCAATTAGAAGAAATTAACGTGTTGTAAAATTATTGGATGGTTTAACTTCTTTGGGTATCGATTTGCGTTTAATAAGTATGTTAAAAGCTACCGCTTCTTATAATAATCCTCAGTAGTTTTAGTAAACTTGGAACATCCACTAGCTTCCCCTTTCTTAGTCCACGACTAAATTATATCAAATAAACATTATTATATACCTTGTGCAGATTGTTCGATTCTTTCTGACATGGATGTCTGTGTTATGTGCACTAAACCATAACAGATCAATTAAGCATGAACTTTCCTATTAACCTGATTCGTTTAACCTAAATATGGTTTTTGAGATTATCTTTTAAATTCTTAATTTTATCTGAGGACTATTGTTGCACAAATGCGAAGTTTACTAAGGTTATTTGCAGGCGTTTTGATAGTTATCAATAGCCCTTTAGTTGACTTTAGTCTTCACAGAGAGGAAGAAACATCAAAGTGAAAAAAGATATAAAAGAGACAGACACAAAGGTGGAAAACAGGTGAGGTGATTACTGTGGAAGTAGTCAAATATGACATATTGTGGGGTGATGGTAATTTGAAGTGAGAAGTCAACTGCCGGTTAATAGACTTTTTGCCGTATGAGAATACGTTGCCCAGGGTACACCACGTGGAGGTAAGTGGTATTGCAGTTTGCTAAGATAAATATTTATGTTTATTTATATAAAATGGCAGGCGTCTTGATGGTTATCATTAGCCCTTTAGTTGACTTCAGGCTTCACAGAGGGGAAGGAACATCAACTTGCAAAAAGTCGAGAGGGGGAAGAGAGGAGTGTTTCAAAGATGTTAGAGAC